GAAAGACCTTTGGTTTGATATCTTTTTTGCTCATATATATAGATACAATTTTCTTTTCCTTTTTTTTCCACAACAAAAACCAAAATTAGCTTACCTCATCAAAGGATCGACATTATATTCCAATCAATCACAAGTCATCAAATTGCATCATTGATTACCATAATAATATTAACAATAACAATAACAAAAATATTATTATTATCAACCTATCACATGTTAATATTAAATAGATAACTTTAAAGAGAACAATAACATGGACACTAATGTATGGATTATATAGCAGCATTAATGGCTTACCAAGTATGTAAGAGTTGCATCCTGCTTGGCAGTCTTTACTTTTAGATTTGATAGCTTAAGCCAACCAAATCTTTTAAAATGTTTACTAGGAGATTTTGGAGTTACATCCTACTTGGCCTTTGAAGCTTCTAGATTTGGTAGTCTGTGCAAACTAAAGATTACAGTTTTGAAATATTTACTAGGAAGTATATATCCATGTTAGCTCTTCTCTATCCCTATAACTGTATAAGTCAAAGTTGTAATATGAAAAATTGTTTACTTAATATTAATATACTGTATGTTTAATTTCCCTTTTTCTTTATTTCTTTATATTTTTCTTTAAATTGTATGGTCTATCATACAACTATTTAAACAGTATATTAGTTTTAAAATTTCTTTTCTAATATAGTTTAGATAGATATTCTGATAAACTAGTGTTTAACTTATGTATTATGAGAAATATAGGTTTTTGTTCATAGCTATATTCCAGTATATATGTATAATAAAAAACTATTATTTACCAAAAAAAAAAAATCTAATCCATATCAATAAAGTTATTATCAAATACTACAAACATTTTTTTAACAACTTCTTATTTGAAACATACAAATAATATAGCATTAATAAAAATAATTATTTAAACCAATATATGATTAGTTACAATATTAATTAAACAATCCCTATTCCAGTACACAAAAGTTAGAAACATTTATAAAACATATTAGCAATAACAAAATTATGAAACAAAGTATATATGTCATCCATTAGTATACAAGTATACTTTAATTATAACAAACATTACAGTCCATATATATATTACAATCAACAATAAACTTATACCCTATTATTAAATATCAAATATACATCCTACAATTTATATTCTCCTTACCAGAAACAATTTGAAAACTAGCCACTATTCAAAATCAAATCCAATTAAAACAACAAATTCAAATATATACAAATAGATTATTAATTAATTAACAAATAAATATCAGATAGTGGTCTCATTATCTTAAAAGTTCTAGACACACCTTTCCATAATCAATAATTACATGTCAAGTTAGTCAAATGCAAAAAGAGGTTGTGAAAGGAGAAAATTTGACTGGCAGTACCAATAGCATAAGGATTTGTTTTACTGAGAGCCTAGACTGCTAACCAGTATGTTAGAAGCATGTAGTTATAAGCAACTCTATCTTAAATACCTGATAATACCACCATTTCACACATCTCTCAAAAAGAATGACCATAAAATTGTCTTCTTGTTTTATCCAGTTTCCAATTTTTCACAACAAAAACTATAAGCAGCTTACCCTATCAAAAGATCAGTGTAAGTCAACTATACTATATTAATATCTGGGTCATCAATATGGACAGGATCAATGACCCTTAATCATACTATATTTGGCCACATGGTTACACAGGTCCAGACCACAATCCAAAACCCAAGTACCGCATCACCCTCCACTATCATCACTTATGAAGCACATATGCAAGGTTTATAATACAATTAGTAGCTAGTTATTTTTAGCTTTTTTCTTCTTTTCTCCTATTTGGGTTCTCAAAGGTTTGCATATATCAACTTTATTTGTATTAGGTTAAGATTAATCTACTTACTTTGTATATTAGAGATCATTAATGTAATGACATAAGAACAAAAGTTTAATAAATGTCTCACATTTAATGCCTTTTGCAAAAAAAAAAAACAAATGAATATCAGATAGATAATTAGTAACATTTCAGGCAACCTAAACTTCCAAGCAAAAATTACTTTTTATTCATCATTAACCAGAGCAAAACTAATGTCTATTCTTATAGCACTAATAACAATAAACTATTAAACAAAAGTTACAAACTTCACAAATAGTCAGATAGCAATAAACAGTATTAATACAGTTCTAATGAACTCAATTAAAGCAATCAAAAAACTGAAAAACATTCATATATACTGTATAACACTATCCAACAAATCATATCCAATTACAATATTCAATTAACACTTATAAAAATCAAGGCATACTCAGGACTTGAATACAATAAAATAGCTAACAAACTTGTCAAGGAAGTCATAACATCTAACAATATAATATAGATTAATATCGACTACAATAATAACAAATCTAATCTCTTATATCTTGCCAACTGACACACTTACCAACTGGAAGTCCCTATCAAAACAGAAATCAAAAATGCCTATTTGTCAAATATATTATATAATAAAGATTCCTAAACCAAAATAAAATCAATATCTTTTATATATATATGAAAAAATTAACTGGAAATATATAATAACAAATATCTATTCTTTAAAGTGCAATAACCATAATGACAGAAAATTCCAAAACAAGCTTTGAAACATGGAACTCCCTATACTAACAAAGTTATATCAAAGAAACAATATATTATATTCAAGTAAAATGTGTATCTTTTGCAAACAAAAAAAAGAATCTATAACATATCTATTTATCTGTAACCAACAAACAAATAACAAATAATTACTATCTTAAATAAAGAAACAAGTTTATACAGCAATAAAAAAACAAAATACTACCTTATTTAAGAATTACAAATACATATCAAACTTTGGAACAATGAAACCCTAAATTTAAATATTAGAGAAGCAATTATATATATAACTATCACAATACTCAAAAAATATCTAAACAATTAAGATTTAAAAGAATACATCAAAAGTTATAATGACAGACTTAGAAAGTATCTACAAAAAGTATGAAAAACAAGATATGAAAAATTTATACAATAGGAAAAACAATACAAATCACAATAATACAAAAGAGAATATAGAGATCAAAACAAAAATTAAAAATAGAATTTATTATAGATAAAGAAATCAAGAACAGATATTTATATATTATCAACAAATACATGACCAGTTATATAAAATATTCATCCAATATAGAAGAAATATTCACAACCAGTTTTTATTTCAAGAATATTTATTGGTAGTGCTTTAGTAAATTAACTATTCAAGAAAATTTTAATGTTTTGTTTTTTTTACAGAATAGGTAACAAGCTGTATGGTGAAGAAATTCTAATAAGTTTACTTTATAATTTAAAAAAGACATTATTTTATTTTATAATATTTTGTATAAATACAATATTATATTTTAATTTATTATTTTAATAAAGTTAAACAAGACATATGCCTATATAAAAAAATATTTATTTATTTTTCTTTAAATTATAAGTTAAATAAATAAATATTTATAAATATTTAAACTCAATTATAATTTTCATTATTTATAACTAGCACTGTATTAGATAAAAAGAATAAATAGGACTAGTTAATTGACTGTTTATATATTGATTATAATTATGAATAATTAATAAAAATTATGCATATAGTATACTTAACTCTTTAAAAAATAATAAAAATAATAAAAATAAATAATCACTATATTGTTATCACTGTTTTTTCATTACTTGATTAATAAATTATTTCTATTTTGCAATAATTCTATTATAATTTAATTAAAGTTATCTTAAAACTATATTATTATAACATTTTATTAATAATTATAGTAATAATATTATTATTATTTTACAATCAAAGTTGTTATAAGATTTGTTTATTATTTTTTTAAAAAAAGTTGATGACAATATCATCATCAAAATAATAATTTAATTGTTATTAAATAGTTGTTAAGATTTTGTTATAACATAATGAAAACCATTAAATTACAATTGAATCTTTACAATTCAGTTACAAAAATCATGATGATCATGTGACCAGAGATAGGTTTCAGTTAAAGATAGGTCCCTAAATTAAAGGTGAGAACATAATTCAAATGTCACTCACTATTAAAAAAAGTTTTTTTAAAAAATATAAGATCAAAAAAAAACTACTTACAAAGGTTTTTTGCAATTTAGGCCACTTGATCCAAGTGTTTTTTGAATTATATTCCTATTAAAGTAATAAATAAATAATTATGTCCCTTTTGAAAGGACATAATTGATCTGCAAAATTTTATATGCTAAATAGTTTAGGGACCCATCCTTAGTTTCAGTAAAAATTAATAAATAAAAAATTAACAAATTTGAAAATTTATTATAATTAAAAATAAGGTTTAAAAAAAAAATAGATTGAAAATTTTATAATAACTATTAAGTTTTTTTAATATAAATTTTTTACGTGATAAATTTTAAAAATGGGTTTAAATAATATTTTTTTAAATAATAATAATAATAATAATATCCACAATAAAAACAAATGTAAATATACTTATAAGGCACTTTTTACTTATATAACTATAATTTAAAACAAACATTTCTTTTTACATATAAAATCATTTAATATAAACAATATTCAATAATTTTTAATAAAAAATACAATATTTTACCAAGTAATAATTTTTATTTAAAATTTTAATGCTTCAATCAATTCTATCTTGATTACGGTTGTTAGAAAACTTCATGAAAAGAGAAACTTGACAATCGTCAATTCATTAGTATTTCAAAACTCAAAGCCACACACCATTACTTGAAAAATGGAGGTTAAATAAATAAATATATATGGTATGATTTTCTGACCCGCGTCTAATTATTAGTGTAAATCTAATTTTATTGTAAATTCATAACGAGAATATGAATTCAATTTATCATTCTGGAAAAAGTAAGACTACTAGTTTTGTCAAACCAGTAGTTTGTTTAATTCACCTTGATTTTACAAGTTTCTCGTTAATCAATGTTAATTATGAGTAAATGAATCAAGAGTTAGTCGTAAAGAACTCACCGACGACCTGGTTGATTCTTGCTTCCGCTATTCTTGTGGATGCAAGCTTCACGGAATTTTGCACATTGAACACGTCAGCTGCTTCCTTGGCAGCCTGATTATAGCTTACCTGTGATATTAAGTGCCTTTGTAAAATGTAATAGATAAAATCCACGAACATCGAGTCAACATCAATGAAAGATAAATTACCACAGTGCCCAGAGTCACAATAGATCTATATAAGACCTCAGAATCAGCCTCAGATCCCAGAGTCTAAAACATAAATTCATTAGATCTTAATAAATACTTGAGGCAATTTATTTAATTTCCAAACGATAGAGGAGGTACCTCGGCAAAAATTGCAATTATCTGAAGAATCGCGTCATCATTTGGGTTGGTTTGAAATTCAACAGAAAAGCTGAAGTGCACAAGAAATAAAATCGTTAATGGAAAATTGCTTTTGACCATTTTCAAAGGGCCAATCCAAAAGATATATACTTGAGAAACACCGTCACCAAAGCTACACGGAGATTTTTATTTGTGGACAGCTTCAATATTGGAGAAATCAATTCAATAATCTATGTGGAATTAAACAGACAGACATTAAGAAATGTATATAACCGGTAATAAACTTTCATCCAATGTAAATATACAAACCGTTTCAGCTTTACGCCTTAAGACCTCCCTTCCCTCTTTGGTATCAAATAAATTAGCTAACGCTCGTAAACCTAGCATCGTGTTTGTTTCTTGTTCCTTGGTAGGAGGAGTACCTTCCACCCAAGAATTTATATTTGAAGAGCTAATCAAAAGGTTAATAATATCCCCGTCAAGGTCATATTGTGCAGGAATTGGAGAATATAAAATGAGGAGGCGTAATAAGTCAATTCCTATTTAAAAGTTTAAAATTTAACATGAGAAAAAAGCTCATTGGAATGTAAAGCGAGTTTTGTAAATCAATTAATTACCAGGGAAACGACTGGCAGATGGCCAACAACCAACTATCTTGTGAACGACAGTAAACTCTGATTGAAGCTCTGCAGTTGAGCTTGACCTTTGATTCTGCAGAAATTTGATCAAATGTTCCAAGGCAATTAACTCCTTGCTCGTTAATACGTTATCATTTGCCGGATCGCTCCCTTGTAATTCTTTATTAAGTTGATTTATTTTATTTAGTATGGCTTGATAGTTTGCTTGACGGAATGTGAGATAGGTTCGCTTTTTACCAGATCAAATAATAATATTACCATTGGTATTAACTAAGGAGTCAAAAGTCAATAAAAAACAAATGGTTATATCGTACCTGTGGAATAATTTTAGGGGACGCCGATGTGCTCTGTGATGGAGACGGACGCGTCCAAGGATCGATGCCAGTCATAGCATTGTTCTAAACGCCATTTATCATTTATCAGATTAATACACATTTTTTAAATAAATCCTAACTTGCAGCTTACATTCGCGGGAACGGTTGAAGGCGACGAATAACTACGGGGGTTATTCGTGGAGCCACCAGGAGTATATCTAGAAGATCCTGCAAGAACATGACACCAATAAGATGCTAGAACACATATAAAATCCCCAAAATGAGGCTTACCAGTAAATGGATCAAAAAATTGTGATTCTGCGCCCAGAGATACGCCCTGTGAATTTTTTGTAATGAAATCGACGATTTGATCCAAATAACTTGGTGGGAGCTCATTAATCCGTATAAATTCCTGAGCCGCATGATATGGATTATCTAAGGATAAAGATCAATTTATATATCAAAAAGTTCAATCATTTATCTGTCCAAGAACATTATAATTACCAGTGGCATTATATGGTAATTTCAGAGGAGGGACACCATCTCCAATATCCACATCAAATACGTAATCATACTCTTTTCCATTATATAATTGCTTTCTTCCTTGACCAACAGCATCGACAACCTCACCGACCTTATGCCACGAGCTGTCATTTTGACTCCACTACAATGGGAATACGCGTCGGACTTGATCAAAGAAAAATAATAGAAACGGGTGACGAAATACGTGGGTTGCTTACCTGATGTGCTTCAACGGTGTCGCGAACGCGAATCATAATCACCTGTCCCTCCTTCTTGCCTTTTTCACGATGTAAATCGGTTAATAGCCATTTTTTGCAATGAAATTCGTGATCGCGATGTAGATGAACAAACTCCACCTGGAACATCCAATGCTTCTGGCCCCGGAAGTTGGTCCTTTTTCAGATCTCCAATTTGATTGCTGAAATAAGCAAAGTAAAATAAAATTCATTTGTAAACATTCTTTTATTCACAAGTCTAAGGATCGAGTACATACGCTGGAATTGCGTGACTGGAAACTTGATTTTCAAATTCCTGATCATGTGAAAAACCGATATCAAAAAAAAAAAAAGGAGATAGCGTAAAATTTAACATCAAAGATAAATATTCACCTTCAAAACCATTTGTTCAGCAACGCGTTCCGAGTCCCTCGTAAAAACTCGGATCAAACCATCACTTGAACCACTTACAATATCACCATTTGGCATTGCGCCGACACACCAGACCGATGTTGCGGGATGTAATATTGTTTGTGTGCATTCACCAGCTTACATAGAAATCCATTTAGTACTTTTGTATGAGACGCATTTTTAGCTTAAATGGTAACCAGATATATACATCTCCAGACTCTCACGGATCGATCTTCGCCGCTCGATATGATCTCACCGGTGGGTAAAACGTCAAGTGAATACACAAATGAAGTGTGCCCATTCAACTCTCTAACACATTGTCCCTCGAGAGACCATATGCGAATCGTGCTGATCATTATTAACCGCAAAAATATTAGAATACGTCGCCTCTATTAAATCCAACATTTCGTGGAAATTAAACTACCTATCATTTCCGCAAGATGCAAAGCCTGTGTTTGGAAGAAAAGCCAAAGCTCTGACACAATCGGTATGTCCACTCATTGTTTGAATGCGCCTTCCTTTCTGCCACTTTATGATAGATTTATCAGCTGACCCTAATGAAACAAAGCCTTTAGGAATAAACATATTGACATCCTAATGAACTATAGTTTACTACTTGCCAGTCAGTATGAGGTCATCTTCGATGGCCAGTACAGCCCACACCGCATGTGAATGCCCGGTCAACGTATAAGATTCTTGCCAATTTTTCCATATTTTTGCTGTTCTGCATCACATTAATAAATAGAATAAATTTTCTAAAACATACGATCTCCAGTTGCGAGTTTTTTTTACAAGACGTACTTATCCCAGGATCCAGAAACGATAAAACCGGATGGTGTGATATCTAAAGCACAGACGTTGTCTTGATGTCCGATCAATGTGTAGATAGGTTCTTGTGATTGATCGGCATCAAAGACGTTAATGCTCTTATCGCTGCTACCGCTAATTATAAGGCCTAATCGCGTTTTTTTTTTTTAAAAAAATAAAGGTCACCAAGAGCGGGAAATCAGGTTTAAGGCAAGAGTGTTGCGGAATCTTAACTTACCACCAGGGTGTTCGGCGGTCGGGCGCAAGTAGGCAACGGAATTCACAAAATGGTTATGGCCTAAAAAGAGGTTACTTTCGCCAAAGGAATTCGAGGATATCCTAGACCACTTGCGTACTGTTTTATCACGAGAAGAAGAAATAATGACATCTTCGGTTGGACTATGAACAGCTTTAACCTATGAATTAGAAACATTCGAAATGCGTCAGACAATGAAAATTGGATTATAAAACAAGTCCAGATCATAACGATCAGGGACTTGACTTTGGTGGTGAAAGGTCAAATGTCAACAACACCCACGTCCAATTCATGACCGGCCAAGATAACGGATAGTTGAAATTGGGACATTGCTTTAGCCGGAAAAATTAATCGAAATTCATTCTTTTGTATGCAGATATCTGGTATCACATGACTCCCAAGATCATGAAAAAATTTTTTTCATAAATTCTATTTAATTCGAAATTATCTTCCTCCTTTTTTACTATTTGATAAGGTGGGGAGCATTTCGAGAATTCAAACGTTTTTCAAAAAAGCTAGTAGCAACAGTGACTTATTTCGTTGAAAATTAAATCTCGAAAGTACTCAAAATGGCGCAACGACTGACCTACAGACGTCGTCTGAGTTACAACACCAAATCAAATCGAGTCAAAGTGATCAAGACTCCTGGTGTGTTTTCGTATGCATCTTCCTCACGAGACAGATAATCCATGGCTTTTAATTAACACTTGTGCATCCGACAGGTGGCAAGCTTACTTGGTTATACGAAAAGAAACCTGCAAAAGGACCTCGCTGTGGTGACTGTGGGACTAGGCTTGCTGGGGTATAAAATTACCACTTAAGTTACAAAGGACATTGGATTGAATGCACGATAGAAATCTTAACACTTTATTTTTCAAAAGATTCCGGCTCTTCGACCACGTCAATATGCCCGAATTTCTAAACGCCAAAAGTCGGTACAGCGAGCCTATGGCGGTAGTCGATGCGCTAAATGCGTGAGAGATCGGTACGTTTGAATTCAAATTCGAGATTAATACGTTGAATGAAGAATGATTCTCATTTATTTGACACCACAGTATCGTCAGAGCTTTCCTGATCGAAGAAGAAAAGATTGCCAAAAAGGTTATCAAGTCCCAAACCAAACCTCAAACCAAAAAATAATAATGTAAACCTTTCTGCACACACACTGGTAAATCTAAAAGTTCAAGAAATCTTTTCAAACCATCATTTAAGTCAAAATGATTTAATGAAACAGTGTTTTTAAATTTAAATATCTGGCGACAACGGTGAGAATGATGTGGTTCTCCTCTCTTTTTTTTCTTTATTTGCCATCGATAGTTTCTTTAATAAAAAAAAAATTGTCGATAAAAATGATAAACATACCATCCGAAAAAAGAAGCTCATTGGAAACAATTAATCAATCAATATATTGTACGGTAAAGCGATCTATATTTTTATTGATGTAAATATCTTTGTAAAACTACAAACAAAACTTGTTTTAATCAACCAATGAGGTATCTCGATCCTCGCTCAAGTCTGGAATTTTTTGAGTTGTCCAATATCCTCAAGCATAGAACGTATGGTCTCCTCGGATTTATCGCATAAACTATATAGATATATATATATACATATATTTTTTCAATACAATGCGATTTTAGTTTTTTCTGCAAAACGACATCACTTATTCTATGTAAGATCTCTGATCACCTTGGAATCAGTGATTTCGCCTCTTCGACGTCTTCGCAGCATAGATTCGCCAGTTGAACCAACTCGTATTTGTGAAGCTTGTATCTTAGCAATGTCCTAATTTGGAATCGGCTCAAGTTTTTAGCTGAAATTTCCGTGATGCCCCCTCCCCCCATTACAAAACTGCTTACTTTCGAAGCTCACGTACGGATTCTTCATTATGAAACTTTGTGAATAAATTGACATATTCCGCGGTCTTTTGATATACGCTGCAGTTTCAAATAAAGGGACATTTGAGATTTGGGATTACGTGTTTTTTCCGGAAAAGGAGAAGGGAAACTTCACGTTGTGTTCCTCTGATTCTCTGGCGTTTTCGCGAGTAGCAGTGCGACTTCAGAAATGAACAGAAATTCTTCGGCTTCGAAATCTAAGTATACGAATTCCTGTAAAATTCCGATCTCTAACCTCGATTTATAATTTTACTGCAAACCTTCGCCAAATTTTAACTTTGAAGCATCTTCTTCTTCTTGTGGAGGTCTACGGGTTCTACGAGTATTGGACATGTTGCAATTGGTCACGAATTTGCTCAAGTACTTAAATATCGATTTTTTGTACACCAATTTATAATCGAGAAAACAATGCCACGTGACTAGATTGCATCTGCTCTTATAATGCAAGAATTTACAAATACTGTAACTCAACCCTTAGCTAGTTTAGCTTATAATATTGACACTAATGAAAAAAAGAAACGACTATCTATTAACTAACTTTGCACTACTATATCTTCCTTTTTGGGCTTTTTCACTTTTTCTTCCTTTTCGGCATCGGTTTCTTTCTCCATCAACACACCTATTCCCTCGCCTTCTGTACATAGTTCAGAAATATGATCCAAAAACACTAACCCATCACCGTCTGCATCCAATTTCAAAACAATTTTTTTAATTGTCTCATTATCTCCAGGTGTATGTTTGATAATTCTTAAAGCTTCTTCCAAGTCACTAACACTAATTTGCCCACTTTCATTGGCCTGAATTATATTTAACTTTGAACCAACTTCTGAATCATATTGTTCCAACTCTTTATCGATTTTATGAATCATTTTTTCCAAGCGCGATCCGAGACGAAGTGACACCTTGGATTCGGTGTGCTTACCAGTATCCTCTAATTCTTGTATGTCCTACTTTCCATAACGAGGTTAAAAATTTTGGAAGTTTATAATGCACCGAGATAATATTTTGAAATCTCCAATTACCTCTTTATATTCTTCTCGATCTTCCTTGATTTCATCTAAAGCTTCTCTTTCTTCTAGCACTGCTGATCTCGACGAAAGGATGGTCAATGCCGCGCGCAATTCTTGAAGCTGTTGTTCGGTTATGCGCGCGTCATCTTCGGATGCTTCCTGTAAGGTCAATTAATTTCACGAGGATTACTATTGTAAACAAACGTTGATTGAGGATAAGGCAGAGGGTCGTCTAAAATAAAATCACCTTGGCATCATGAGGAGCTTTTTCAGCCAGCGCTGCCTCCTTGGCAGCTTCTTCCTCTTCCTTTGCTCTTCGCGCTACTTCTTTCTATATAAATTGGTTATGTTTAGATTGGTTATATAAATGACGCATTCCCTTTTTTTTCTGATGAATGACCTCCTCTTGAGCCTTTTCTTCTGCGATCAATTCTTCTTGCTCTTCTAGCACCTCGAGCTTCTGTTTATATGTGGCGGTGCCGTCATCTTCCATGACTTGTAGTTCAGTTTCGTTAATCTGAAAACAAGTGACAAGATGTTCCCTCACGCCAAAATAGGAACTTGGATAAGCAATTGCAATAGAAACTTACGAGGTTATCGGGCAAACTATTCAATGTGGCGTGAAGAGCCTCGGTTTGATCGACCAATTCGGTCCGATCGGAAAAACTGAATGCTCGCGAAAGAATCAAAAGAGTGGATGGCACTTTGTAATTTAGATGAAGATCTAACCATTGTTGTAGTTCACTGCGTAAACGAGATGGCGATACTCCGATCGTGCGGATTCCACGTGATTGACAGGCTTGTTGGAGTTCAGGAACGGTAAGCGAATCCACCCCTTCGACCATAATCATCTGAATGCTTGGATTATCAGTATCTTTATAGGTGACTAAAATTGCGCTCACAAGGTATAAGTAAAATACCTTATCGTCTTCTTCGATAGCTCCCATTTTATTTCTGATCTGATACCTCAGATAATTATCGGTTCCGAATGCGTTGATGTTCATGTAACGGCACATGCTAACCAACTGAGGGCGAGATAGATTATCCAAAGTTAGTTCATCTTCAAAGACCTTCGCTACGCGAATTAAGTCCTCTGTGTTTGGTTGCTCTCCGGACGAACGGATCTAGTGGTAGAAAGGTGTTAGCCATCAGATGGTCCATTTCCTATAGGATTTCGGGCAAAGAATGTACCTTGCGAAAGAATTCTAAAAACTCCTTGGCAGCTTCAGCACGATCTTGTTCCGTTATCGTCATTTCGGCAATTGTCTCTTGTAAAAATTTTGCCATTTCCAAACGCACTTTGAGCAATTTTCTTTTTTTTTCTTCCTACAATTTTAAATCCAACTCGCGATATCAGATATGAATGATGACATGACATTTATGCTGGAAGCGTATGCTGGCGGATTACCTTTGCGAACTTATCCTCGAAAGTACTTGGTAACATATTTGGGAATAACTTGAGGGCCACGGGTAATAGAAGTTCCATGAAAGGTACGATGACAAAAACTGCAAATGGGACAAGTCGAGCCAAATCCTGAGTGGTCCGCTTAAGCTAATTTAAAGATGTATCAATGATTAATTCGGTTGTGTTGAGATTAGAAAAGTGTAGGATGTCACACCTGTCGATGTTCTCGGCGGGTTAACTTTTGACCTTTCAAAAGTTTGTATAAGAGCTTTGTTGAAATCTTTATTTCCAAACCGAAAAGCTTGGTTCCGTGCCAGTAATGAATCAATTCGTCTTTTATTCGGGTGGTCAATGGTTTTTTCTTAGCAACCGCGTTAGACGCTTTTTCGTTGACATTGGCCTCCTCTTTTTCAATTTGCGCCGCACTTTGCTTAATAACAGGATCCTTTTTTTCGGATACATTTACTGGTTCTTTGGACACTTGTGCATTACGAAGAAGTCGTAGTTCCTTTGGCAGTGAGAAAGGACTTTTGCTGAAAGAATGCAAAGAACACGTGGCCAATGGTGTAGGCGAGTTTTGAAGGGGACACGAAGACGAGCGAATTATGTTATGTCGGCAAATTTTTCGTGAATTTATGAATGAACTCGAATGGATAAACCTATTGTTCACTTGCATTTATATTTTACGCGTATATTATTGCAATGAGGATAAATTTGCCAAAAGGTGTCAAGGTATCTGTCTAATTCATCAAAATGGAAAAAAGCGCTTTGCAATTTCCTACCGGCAATGGTTTTCTGATGTCTCTGGTGAACGAGCAACGACGGGACACCACCTCTCAAGGAGGTGACAAACGACGAGCGACTTGGTACAAGAAATTTTGCCGAGGCCATATCACACCGTCAAGATGAAATCGATCTATGAATATCTTTTTTCACCTTTCACGTGCCCGCAATTTATTGTGTTACTCTGGCCGGCATATTCATTGTTCATTATGCATGACATTCAATAATTGAGTTTTGAATTGTGGAAACCATTATTAAGTCCGGAGCGCGTAATTTTAAATAAAACATTTAGAAAAAAAGTGACCAGAATAAACAGACATCAATGATTAACGTGTATAGGATTATATAGTTTATTTGAATATGATTATAAATGAAAACTTTGTTAATTAAGGGCTATCCATATTTTATGTTAAAAAAACAAGTGTTCTAACCAAATAAGGAATATGATCATTCATATATATACTGTATATCGCAAAAAAACTATCTTGTAATGATTCGTTGGACCGATTCATTTGAGTATCTATCATCGATATTCGTTGATAATGAGAATGGTTCTGTGCAACAACTAGATTAAATAATGCAACGGGTTATATTGATGACTATAAATAAAAGCTTTCTCGAGGAAAATTGATTAATAATGCGCCGACATCACAGATCAAGAATCCAAAAGGTGAAGTGTAGCAGCCAGAAAATAGTTATCATTGAGGGAGGAAGGTTCAGTGTGTTGACTGATGAAAGTTTGTTGCCTGGTAATGACTTTGATAAAGATATTAACTGGAATGTTGACAATAATCCATGTCAAAGTATTCAAATTAATGCTTGATGACGGTGGTGATGTTATAAAATAGTTGTATCACTTTTATATAATTAAGTAAACATTTATTTTATAATAGTTAAATACTATTCAGAATATCATATAAGTTTTGAATTTCTTTTTTTTATATTTTTGAGTAGTATCAAGAAATATAAAGATTGGATTATAATTTATTTTTATTATAATTTTTAATTTATGATTACAGGATTATAATCTTAATAATATAATATATTCCTTTTTTTACTAAAAAGATTTAAATATAATAGTTAGTTGCTTCTTCAAAAAAAAAATTTATTTTTTTATTTTTTTAATTTATTAAAAATAATTTTTGTTTAGCTTATTATCAAATAGAATTTTTAATAATATTATTTTGATATCAAATTTATATTAAATTTATTATAAGTCAATATTATATATATTATATACTGTATGTATTTATATTTAACTCAAATATTTTTTAAAAACTGTATTATATTTATATTACTAAATAACAATTAGTAAATAATTAAAAATCATATTTAATTTAAAATTGTATTGTTGATTAAATTTTTTTTTATAGTAATAAAAAATATGTATAATATATATAATAAAATTAGATTTAGATATTTTTAAAAAACTATATTATTAAAAAAAAAACACTTTCCCACTTCTCTCTTATGTTTGGAAATTTTTTTTAAAAAAAAATTTTAAATTATTTTCTTTTTCTTTACTTTTTTTCTTCTTTTAATACTATTTTCTTTTTCTATTATCTTTTTTTTTTTTTTTTATTTATTTTTTTTATCTTTTTTACAAATTTTTTTATTATATTCCTCTTTCTCTTCTCTTCTTCTCTTACTTGTCAAAGTTGTGTTTTTTTTTTCTCCTTGAAGTTTTTTCTCTTTAAACCTTTTACTTCTTAAAACTATCATTTTTTATTTCTTTATTTCTTTAATCAATTGACTCTTTTCTCTCAAGAATTATATTAAAAAATAACAACTTCTTTCATATTATAGGCTTTAAAAATTTTTACTTTTATAATTTTTTTAAAAAAAATCAAATAGTTTACTTTCTTCAAAAGATCAGTATAGTTATTGTTATTATATTCAATATTGTTTACTTGTTAATGATTAGAATTTTACAAGTGATATACTTAAGGCTCCTAACAATACTACTTCAATACTATTTTGATACCAATTCGATACTTAAATTTACTATAAAAACATATAAGTAGGTTACAACCCATATATAAAATTTACTATAGATCAATATCATTTCAATATCATTTCAATATCAGTTTGGTACTTTTCGAAGCCTTGGATATACTGGTGTTTAGAATATATAATAGGATAACATATAATAATTAAATATTCTAGTTACTTTTATAAATGGAACTAATATTAATAATAGAAGTTTTTTATTTATTTCTTGACAATATAAATCCATATGCATAATTAAATAAAAATATCTTTAAGAAATTTTAATACAACTCTAACTATTGAATACTTTTGCTATATTTAAAAAATAGATATATTAAACTTTTTATATAACTTGAAGACCAATTTGTTTTTTTTTTTTTTTCAGGTGAAAGATGTTTTATGCATATGTATTTTATTGAGTAATTTATATCCAATTACAGATACACTAAGGTTCATTTAAGTTAACTTCGCTTCTATACCTATAAACTTATCCAGTATACCAATTGAACACCTTAAAGGTGGATCTGCACCCTGGATGTGATCTTTAAAGAATAGAAAATCCTACTGCTAATTTATAAACTATCTAATCTAATTTAGATCCTGTTTCGACTGCATCCGTCATGGAAAAGGTACAGTTATTACCTTTCAGAGATATGGTTGTGGAACACCCAGATATTCCCGTATATATTTTTTATCCAGAACCTCGAAGAATGTAAATTACTCTTTGTCACCACCTGTGCTTTCGATTATACCAAGTATCTTATTCAAGATATAATCTTTTTTTAAGCAAATACCAGATTGGGATAGCCCTAGGCTAGGATGTTCTTGTGTGATGGAGTCTGCCGTCACCAGTTTTGGTTAGGGTTGTGGGCTTATACCGGAGTTAGACCAGAAGCCTTTTCTCGTGCAACCTTCCTTGCTTTGACCTGTTTTCAGCCCGTGATCGTCGGGAAGACCAGAGGTCCTATCTTTATGCAGCCTAACTAATTTTGGAAGATGATTTGTGGTTGATTAGGTACAACATGAATTGGAAGCCGGTCAACCAATCATAAAGGTGATAAATTTTTGTAACCAGATGGGGTTGAACCCTAAACACTTGAAGACCAATTTGTAAAAAGTAACTATAGTGCTTTTATATATAAAAAACCAACTCTCTTTTCTTTTATATCACTTGCTATATATATAATTCTAAAAATTGGAATTAAACAGACTTGCATAGATTTGTATAAATTTAAAATACTATTAAAATAATGGTAGGTTATAACCTATATATTAAATTTACTAAATATTTAAGAATAAAAATCAAATCAAATCAAATTATTAGGATTCTTAACTATATATCAAGCCTACTTTAAAAAACAAATATATTAAATCCCATCCATGACTTAAAAACAAATCTATATATTTAGCTACAGTATATTCATATAATTAAATATTACAAATCTTCTAGTTTTCTATTAAATACTACTTAAGATATATAAATTTTAAAAATCTTTTTATTATTGCTTAGGTAGTTATTAAAAAAAACAAATTAAAATAAGTGAATCATTTTTTGAATTCTATATTAAATTTTTTTTAGCAAAAGAAATATATATTAGTTTTTATATTTGTAATATTGTCAAAAAATAATTTCCTATAAATAAAAGTTTGATTAATAAGTGTTTCAGTTTTTTCTATAAAAAAATAATATTATATTGAAATTATTAAATAATATATAACAAATAATTCAAAATTATATTTAATTTAAAATTGTATTATCAATTAAATTTTCTTTTATAGTAATAAATATAGTTTCAAAAATTGAAATTAAATAGACTCATATAAATTTATATAAGATTCAAAATATTATCAAAAATAATAGTAGATTATAACTCATATAGTAAATTTAATATAAACCTAAGAATCAAGAATTAAATCAAATCAAATTATTTTTTTTAAAACAAAGATGATATTAGCCTTTTCTTTATTTATAAGAGATTACTGGAAACAATATTATAATTACAGAAGGTTGAACTATATTTTTCTTTGCTAAGAAGAGTTTAATATATAATACAAATAAATTGGTTATTCCACCTTAGTTTAACTAACTGTTGTAGGGAAAAATGATGGGTAAATGATAGGAAATTATAAGGGTAAGTATATCAGGTATAAACGGTATATCAGGT